AAAATCCGCATGAGTCCGGCAGCGTTCAAAATCCTCGATGTACGGAGGTTTGGGGGTTGACCGTAGTGAGTTTAGAAGGGTCTTGTAGTCGGGGCTTGTTCTTGTTGTTTGAACCCACGACGACGTTTCGGGGCCTCCAATTCTTCTCCTCTTCCCTCCAACTCCCTCTGCCACACCTCTCAATTCTGTTTGAGCAGCAATTCCGGCAGCGTTGTGATTAGAACTCGAGGCTAATCGATCTGCAGAGTACTTAAAACAATCCGCATGAGTCCGGCAGCGTTGAAAATACTCGTCTTTGATGTACAAAAGGTTGGGGGTTGACCGGAGTGAGTTTAGAAGAGTCTTGTATTCAGGGGCGTCTATCGGCGGGATGCCCAATTTTAGGGTTTTCTTTCGACTCCCAACTTTAGGGTTTTCTTTAAGGCTTTCTTTCGACGCTTCCCACCCAAAAATAGACACTTTAGGGTTCTCCATTAGAAGACCACCTTAAGGGTTTGAAAAACCACCCTGAATATTTAGAGATTAAAAAAATCTAAACTTAATACCCTAATCCGCAGGTAGCCGAGCTAGAACTTTAACAAGTAATCCAAGCAGACCTTCGAATCTCTGTTGAGAAACCAGACGGGGGGTGAAGATATTTATAAAGTTAAAAAAATTGAAGTTTTTGTTTAGAGTCGATGTGGGACTGCTACAAACCCACGACCCGGTCTCTTCTCGATGTGGGACAAATGAGTCCCGGTTCTTCGGTTATTTCATTGGAGACCTGTTCACCCCATGATGGACCTCTTCATCGTCGTCTCTAGTAATGGTGGTAGTGGACATGCTCTGACTCAGGCTGCAAATCTCCGATTCCTGTTAGATGTCTCCATTGTTATTGCTTGGCCAAAATATCTCTTCCAGCCTTCTTGAGATCCAGATTGCTTTCCACAAAACACCTCACCACGGCGGCACTCGAACCCCAACACTCCAACCTTTCCCTTGCAGCTTTGGCACCTGTTTTTCTTTGATCCACTATTATTTTTATTAGAAACTGGATCATCTGCAGTTTGAAAAGAAGGCAAGGAAATTCCACTTCCATCAAGTTTGTCCATTGATGAAGCCACCCCCATGACCGACGACTGAGCATTACTTTTCTCTTGTTTGACATAATCTTGGTAGCACTTTGAGCACATGTTCTTGTTTTCGACAGAGCCATAGAAGCCACAACGCTTTGCACACATTAGACGCTCCATGTTCATGTTAATGAACTTTGTTTTCTTGGCTTCAAAAGATTATTGCTTCTTTCTTCTCGATCTTTTGCTAATTCTTTGGAAATTATAGCAGTGAATTTATAGGCAAAACCAAAATGCTTCCTCGGCTTCTTCTTCTTGTTATAAGAATTGTATGTGTATGTGTGTGTTGGATTGTATTTGTTTATAGGTTTATATATGGAATGGTGATGGTGGTAGATTTTGTTAGAGTTTGTAAGAGAGTTGTTTCCTTCTATGGTTTATAAGCACCAACACTTTAAAAATATTAAATAGAGTATGGGCCTAGTGAAAGCAAAGTTGGGTCAACCAAGGTGGTTGGTGTGAGTGGTTCGGCACTCTCATTCCTTAAGAGAGGTCAGGGGTTCGATCCCTGCTCTCGTATGGAGTCACCACTTTGGCCAGCACTTTACTCCTTACGGGCCGACCCGGTGTGAACGGGGATTAGTCTGGGTTGTGGTTAAGGCTTAAAGGTGCCATCCATAGTTGGAGCCCATCCAGGACCACCTCGTGGTTCAGACCAAAAAAAAAAAAAAAAGCAAAGTTGGGTCTCTTCATGGTTTGGGCATGGAATATATTTGGTTTGGTAATATATATACCAAAAGATGGGGTTGGGCCTTGGGGCTCTGTTGATTTAATTAATAATTTATTTTCATTAATTGAAAATTCGTTTTTCAGATAAAACCAAAATATGAAATTCGAATTTGTTAAACAGTTAACATAAGGGAGTTTCACTAAAACACCCAAAATGGGGGCTGAAATTATAAAAAAAACCCAACACCAAAATACTTTAGAAACACACCCAAAACCCATCATTACATACACTCAAAACTCATTTATAAACACACCCAAAAAATATACAATTGTTGATTTTGGGTGTGTTTCTATGTTTAAATAGTGTTTGGGTTTTTTTATAAATACATGTCTAGTATTGAGTTTATTTATAAATTTGTATTAACATAACTGTTGGATGAAGAGGTGTCATGCCTCTATATAATGACATTTCGTCCAAACTAGATAGGCACTTTTTGAACATCATTAATCATTCTCACATTTTAACACTTCTTGAGAGAATTCATACCAGTCTTCACCAGAAATCAAAGCCACAGTGCTTAGGCTTTGATTTAAGATAGTTTAATCCTGGTGGTTAGACTCATATCGAATTACAAGCACAAGGGTAGAGGAGAAATACTGTCTAAAGGACACTGCAACTCTGCAGGATCTACAGATTTGAGGTAGTTTATGATTTGGAGCAGTATTTTATGGTGACTTGGAGCGTAGTTGGTTCAAATGTTTGTGACTTCACTAGCAAAGTTTACTTCCCTTCACTCCCCTGCTGATATCAAGCAGAAAAATATAAGATGCAATAATTAAGGTTGGTATTCTATACCATATAGTTGCTGTACAGGATGTGCATAAGTTTAAAGATTGTACCAGTTACTTTTCCTTCTTAATCACGATGCTGCTTTCAAGTAGTCTTATAGTGGAATATACTGTTACTTTTACTTATCATTGTTTTTAAAATTAAAGGCAATACCATCTGCTTTCTATTATTTTTGATAGTCTCCTATCTTTCCAGTAAAATTAATTTCTCAAGTGAAAATGAGAAGTTAAGTTGGTTAAAAACTTTATAACCTGGTCCCAATTGTCTTATTATTGAAGAACTGAATGGTGTATCTTGTTTGATGCTTGAGCATAGTCGGACATTTTGCATGACTGGCAGAAGAGAGCTCGGTAGAAGAGTCATAAATGTGCTTATGTAATTCTCTGTAAAATGATTGTTAACATGGTGAATGATTGGTAATGTGTAAGGTAAAACATCTGGCTTCGATTGTGTGACAGGGCCCCAGCGGTCTCTGGGTGATATGTCAATCACTGTGTTAATCATGTGCTATCATCTAATAATATTGCAGAACTATATTACTTCATGACCTGCTTACTGACCTTTAGAAATTTATCTATTCAGCAGCAGACTCAGGAGTTTGAGCATTGAGATGAATCTGATGTTTTATTTGGTCAATTGTTTATAGGCTATAGTTACAATTGCAGATGAAGATGGGAACTATCTACAAGATGCCTGGGAGTACAACATGAACCACCTCAGGCTTGTATGGTCTGGCATCTGGCATGTGCTCTCCAATTTCTTTGTGAGAATTGGTTGTTCTGAAAACCTGTCTATTGCAAATTTTTCTTTGGATTCTCTATGGCCGGTTGTCAATATCATTCACCTCTGGATCATATTGATTAGGTTACAAATCTCTCTTACCGTTTCTTCCTCCCTGTCTTGTCACATCAGCACCCTGGGGACAAACGTCTATTCAAAAAACTTGGTTCAGATTTTCATACAAGTGCAAAGGGAGAGCTTTAGATGGTTCCATGGGTCTTTTAAATAATTTCTATGTTGGACAAAACAAATTGGCCCATGAGCTGTGGCTATATTTATTGTACCTTCTCTCTTCTTTTCAAATTGTCCGTTCGATCTACATTGTTTTTCATTTCTGTCTCTCTGCAAGTTTGTCCGAGCTTAGTTTTGATTCTAGGCCTGAAATCAGGAAGAATGCCTTACAAGTGCTGTATGAAATTACGTAACCACGGTAACCTTTTCTCAGTACCTATGTGGGGAAGGGTTTTTGAATCTGTGCTATTTCCAATATTTGACCATGTGCAGCATGCTATTTATCCCTGGGGAAGGTTCACCACGACAAGGGATTGATGGTGATGTGCGCACGACAAGGGATTGATGGTGATGTGGGCGAGCTTGATCAAGATGCCTGACTCTATGAGACATGCACATTGGCACTACAATTAGGATTGCTCCATTTAGAATTGCTAGTCACCTATTTTTTCAATTATGAACAAAATGAAATTGAGAACATTTATGTTTCTGAAAAAGAAAATTTCCCTTGTTCTTTTGAATTCAGTGAAAAAACTTACCTTGTCCATACTTGTCTTCTACATTTTTTTAAACTTAGTTTCTTCTTCTTTTTTCACTTACCTTGACATCCCTGAAGATAAATTTGTGATGTGGAACAGGTTTTTAGGTGCGATGAAGCAGTACTTATGTCTGTCACTGTTGAAGAACAGTGCTTCAACTCTTATGATAGTTTTTCAACTATGTTGCTCCATCTTCATTAGTCTGGTGTCAAGATTTAGAGCAGGATTGAAAGCAGAGATCGGAGTATTTATATATATATATATATATGATTGTTCTAAGAGTTTTGGAAAATGTTGCGCAACACAATTTTCAGCCGAAGAAGCTAGTGCTTCAGTTCTTGAGAAGCTCTTGTGTGTCAATTCCCAGATCTTGGTAGACATATTCATCAATCAATGTGACTGTGATGTTAATTCATCAAACATTTTTTAGAGGTATCCCCGAAATACAATATTAAAATTTCAAAAGCATTGAACATTGATGATAATATCCAGTTCCATCCATCCAGTTCGATAGCATATCAGTTGTCCTGCATTGTTTCCACACCCTCATAGCATTGTGAATTACTTGGTCTTATGTTAACAGTTTTTGCGTTTGCCTGGTCCTTTTCCTTTTGTCCTGATATTGTCAGGATGGTAAATGGCCTTCTTAAAACTGCCCATGGTGTCCGTCCTGGTGTTGCCACGTTCCACCACATTATTACCGCCTCAGTTGGCAACCATGAACTTGAAGCTATGAAGAGCTTGGTTGGTGTTTTGAGGTCCATCGGAGACTGAGAATATATAGTTTATAATTATTTCCCTAGTACATTTTTATAATTTCCCTCTTTTTCTTTTGAGGATCTTATAGTAATTAATGGCATTGTAACATTAATTATCTCTTTAAGCAGCATATCTTAATTGACGCCCCAAAAGCCATTATTTGCATATCGTATTTAAGGTTTGTAAAGAGAAGATGAGAGTGTAATAGGTTTCTTGGATTGAAAGAGACAATAATAAAACTTAAGAGCTTAATGATTTAAGTAGTGTTTTTCTATTTAAATCATACACTTTTCTTTGTTCACCCCAATACTTAAATCATTAAGTTTTAAGTTTTATTATTGTGTAAAAAGACAAAAAAGGTCATTCAACTTAATACTTAACCCTAGTACGTCTATACGCCCACTTCATATTCTTGATTTGAGCTTTTAATTAATGGGTTCTTTTCAGTTTTAGTTTGATTGATTGAAAGTACGTGAGTTTTATTGTTTTCTTCTAGGCAAAGTTGATTGCTTTGTTTTGGTACCTTTGGTAATGCAAATAGGGGAATGCGACTGTGGTGGAGAATACGGAGAGAGGATGTCGTGATCTTATTTTCCAGAGGATACGGGCAGCTTTTGATTTTGGAATTTGAGATACTTGAGTAGGGTTTTCTCTTGAAAGTGTAGGATTTGATGATTTTGGAATCATGATTCAGATCTAATGTTTCCTATCAAAATAATTTGTTGAATCTAATGTTACAATGTTTTGCAATGTCATTGATAAAATTCTTTTTTTACAATAAAATATCAAACACATGATGTTATACATTAGGAGAGAAGCGGGGCCATGTCAAATAAAACTTCCATTAGAATATTCAGGTTTAGCTTTCTATTGGAATATTTTATCTCTTTAAGTAATGTGAGGTTGAGGTGAACTTAGAGTAGTGAGCGGCAAGATAGGGGGTGTGGGGTGTGAGTGTTTGTGCAAATAATCTCACGGGAGAATATTCGCTTTTAGATCCTTCAACCTTCGATCTTCCTTCTCTCTCTTCCTCGATTCCTGTAAAACAGATTGGAGTAAATAGACCACACTCGGGGGGTGTTGGCCAAAGGCCCTCCGATGCCTAAGTTAGTTCGAGTGTTTGTAGGAAAACAATAGCTAAGCAAAGGGTACGGAGTAGTGTTTATGTAGGGTGTGAACCGGGCGGCCGGAGCCGTGTGTGGTGGCTGGAGCCGTGTGGAGAAAATATGGAGAGTGGAGAGGGAGAAAGAGAGAGCTTTGGGTATTTTTCTTGGGTATTAGGAGTAGGTTTAGATGTACCTTGAATGATGAATGAAGTCATTTATTTATAGGAGTCACAGTCGCAGTTCGCAGTAAATAAAAAGTTTGACTTACTATACTTTCTGAGATTTCAGACTTTGACTGTTGAGAGCTTTCAGACAAGCAGCGCTATGGAAGCCAGCAGCAAGCAGCAGGTACCACTTCATTTTCAATTTTCAATTTTTATTTCCACTTCTCTTTTATTTGTTTATTTATGTATGAATGAATTTCTATATTGGTTTCTAATTTTGGTGAAGAAAAAGTCGGAAAATTCATCATTGTCTTCTTCTTCAAAGCTCCTGCTCTACTCCTACTGGCAGAGCTCCTGCTCTTGGTTCGTCCGCTTCGCTCTAAGTCTTAAAGGTTTTATTTTGCTTTTATAAATGACTTTTAGTTTGTTTCTGTCAAATTTTTTTATAAGAAATTAAAAATCATGATTAATTTCACTCAAGTTTAGGGAAATTTGTTTTTGTTGGTCCGAAATATTTAGTGAATTGAATTGAATTTACTTGTTTTTGGTTTTGTTCATTTGTTGTTAATTGAATGTATAGGACTTCCATACGAGTACAAACCAGTGAACATCACAAAAGGAGAGCAGTTCAGTCCAGGTGGGTTTGAAGCGATGTTATGCTTATTACAAGCCATTCATGTTCTATATATTGAAATAAAAACAGGGCAAATAGTCTGGCACGTTATGTTGCTAGACGGTTAATTTGAAGCTTTTGATTTGGTGGATGCTTATTCAACACATAGTAATGATTCACAATTTGACAACATAATATATCTTACCTATGTTTCCAACATTTGATAAGCTAAGCCTTGTTTTTATCTGTGAGTTGCAGACTTTAAGCGTTTGAATCCTCTTCATTTTGTTCCGGTGTTGGTTGATGGTGACATAACGGTTTCAGACTCCTACGCAATAGTACTGGTTAGTGTAATTTGTTGGAAACTGAATTATTTCATTCATGTGATCTGCAGCCAAGTAACCATAGACCTGAAGGCCTTTCATTAGATTATACTTCATATTTGACCATCATTGTACAGTTTGTGAAGGTTTTACTTACGTCTCTTTTGTTTTGTTATCTGAGTACAATCTCTTCTTGTTACTCTTAATTAGTATCTGGAGGACAAGTATCCACAGAGACCGTTGTTGCCAGCTGACCCTCGGCTAAAAGCTCTTAATCTCCAGGTAAGTTGGTCCTAAATGTGAAGTCCTTATCAAATTTAAAGAATTTGGTATAAAAAAGTTTCTCAACTAAAAATTGACTTGCAAACAAGTCTCTCATGGAGTCAAAGGCCCTATCTTTAAAAAAAAAAAAATTCTGGTTTGCATGTCCTTTTTCCTTTGCTTCAATTAAAGCGTGTCACAGGCTGATGTAAATCGCTTTTTTTTTGTTCTGGTAATGAGAAAGGTGAAGCCTCTGTAGAAGTTAAGATTGAATTCTTCATGGACTTAGTTTTCCTTGCTGAGTTGCCAATTAGTGAATATTGTCACAGGCTGCAAGCATTATCAACTCTAATATACAGCCTCTTCACATGGTGTCGCTGGTATATTCTGTTTCTTTGTACTACATTTATAAAATGAAATTTGGTTTTACATTCGTACCTATGTAATCATCCTTGATTTTGTATTTACATATACTCTATTATCATTTGTTTGTGTAGACACATCTCAAGGAAAAGGTTGGTCCTGAAGAGTCATTATCATTTGCTCAGTTGAATACAGAAAAAGGCTTACTTGGTGAGTGATTATTTGCATGCACGTGTTCGTTCCTTTAATTATAAATTCTCTGCATGTACTGCTTATTAGGAGAAGCTTTCACCTTGAAGTGGAGTTTGGTCGTATGTCGTAGCCTTGTTGTGTAACATATTTCTATAGTGAATTTGGGTTTTCCCAGTGATTAGGATCCACCTAAGCAAGTTACCTAATCAACCTTAACATATTAAATGTTATATTTTTTTTCAATTCCTAAATTACCCTAATTGCATCTTAACGTTTTTTTTTTTTTTCCAACAAATTGTCTGCTATTCAATGTCATAATGGTGTTTCAATTTGCTTAAGGTTCGTGGGTCAGTTTTATTTAGTTATGGTTTCAATAATGCACCATTTTTTTCTTATAAAAAATGTACCTAGATATGTTGGATATATTAAGTATACAAAAATTGTTACACATATGCTATGTCACAGCTATCAAAGAGACCAATATATCATTTATGCTAACAAACTCCCCAATAGGACAAAGAGAAATAGTCAACCCTAATTAATGCACGGGTTCAAATTGTGACTCCTAGAGGAAATTGATGGATTGAAAAATAAAAAATAGAAACCACGTTGAATGCCTAGTTAAAATCATTATTAAAATTCTAAATTTAAGGGATTTTTTGAAGGAGAAAAATGTTCAGCGACAAAGAGGGGTTGATGGCATGATTTGTCAATATGTCATAATATATGAACACTTTCGCATCCAATTCAAAATTGGGTTTTATTTAAATGTAATAAAATAGGTGGGTTATTGTCTAGAGTATTTTAGTTGTATGGGTCTATTTTGGTTAGGCCCTAATTTCTAAATGTGCTTCTCTACTGGTTTTGCATGAGAAGGATTATACTCATTGTTTATTTGAAGTTTTCTTACACATGCATAACAAAAGTGCACACTAATAAAGATGTGAGGGAAAAGAAAAGCTAGTTCCGATTTTATGTCATCTGTGCTATGCATGCTTTCAGATGAAGTCACCTGCATATTATAGCTACCTTGATGATCTTAGAGTACGGTAAGATTTAATATTAAGGATGCCAGTGCACCTCTTTTATATCAGGCCATGCAGTTGTTGGATCTGGATAGATAAGAAGTTTGATTTTAGCAGCAATGATCAATTTGAAGCCCCATTTGATAATAGTCGTCCTAGGCAATGGGAATTACTTCTTTCGTGTCATTACAAAACCACATCCTTATGATTCCTAAACTTCTGTACTCTCTAGCACTGATTTATGATAGCAACGGATATCAACAGCCACTTGCAGATTGACAATTCACCTATTATTATGTCTTCTATGTGCAAGTATGACTGCAAATTATTGAGAGAGATCAAATGAATAAATAATTTGATATGCAAAATCACTTGATGATTGACTTATTAGTTGCAGCTTGTGTGGGAGAGTAGACCAGGGTGCATTTATGTCTGGTAGTGTTAAATAACTCTGTATTTTCACTTGTATTAAAGCTTCTATACATAAAAGTACATGTATATTAACATGCATGATGTGAAACTACTCGAGAGTGCTACTAGTTGATGCTTACATTTTCTATTTATTTATTTCTCATCTGTAGCTCTTGAGATGTTGCTGAAGGATTTTGCTAGCAGATATGCCACGGGAGATGAAGTATATATGGTCTTTTCTGAATGCTCTGTGATTCTTTGTTACAATTCTTTAACTGCAGTCCTATCTTAATTATTTAAACCAATGTGAACTGACAACAATTTTTCTAACCCAACATATTGGTGGATGACATAAATGGTGACAATATCTCCATGATTCTTGGATGTTTATGTGTATGAGCTTTTTTTTAATTGAAGTTTTAGAAGCAATAGAAGATTTTTGTTTTCCCGCTGCTTGAGCTCTTTCTGACTAACTAAAGGGTTTTAATTGCAGGCCGATGTGTTCTTAGCTCCACAGATTGTTGTATCTACTACAAGGTTTAACATTAACATGGTAAACTCTTGTCCGCTTCTGTGTTCTTTGCTTTGGTTGTTAACTTTATTTTGTTCACTGTTAAACTGTGTGTTCTGTGAAAATATTATCAAACAACTTTAGGCGCAACTCTCAACTGTTTCTATAGTTATTCCCCCCTCCCTTCCTCTAAAAGACTGGTCCGGTTATATGTGAGTGTCTTAATTATGCAGAAAAACAGGGTTAGGTATTGATTTTTCTCACATAATTTTCTTTGTTATCTGCTGGCATTTTACTTATTTGGGTCCTTATATATTTGCTACATTCTGCCTCCCACAAGTAAATGACAATATGGCATGAACTAAGGAAACAGAATACAGATGCAAGGTGACTTTGGTTTTTCCTTTTTTTCTTTATTTTTTGTGCAGTCCAAATTCCCCACTTTAAGTAGGCTGCATGAATCCTACAAGATTTTACCGGAGTTGGAAGCTTCGTCACCAGAAAGGCAACCTGATGCTGTGCGTTAAGTCTGGAATTTTTCCGGCATATTCCTCAAAGCATTTTTGTATTTGGCACTATCTCTCTACTGGAATAAGAGTGATCACATGTAAATAAGATCAAATTTGAAAACGTTGGTCACTGGTGTAACAATGTCGCGGTTCTTTGTAAGAGAAACATCACTCGGAACTCTCTGTAATATAATGTCTTGGTATTGAATAAAAATCACGTAGCCAAACAATTTCCATTTCCAAAATCAAACATGTAATCACAGATGATCTTTGCTATCTAAATCCGGTAACTTAGTCAGGTACAAGAACAAGTCTGGATACCGAGTTCAATTACTTCATTTTATATTTAATAAAATAAAGTGCACAAAATACAAGTCTTGAAGCCTAACTATATATAACATGCTAAATGTTGATAATCTGTCTCTAAATCCTGCACTGCAGCTTGTCACCCTTGCAAAGAGGGTTTTGCTTGGCCAAAACATCTCTTCCAGCCTGCTTGAGATCCAAATTGCACGAGTGTGTTTCTGGATACCTATGCTTTCCGCAAAACACTCCACCACAACGGCATTCAAACCCCAACACTCCAACCTTTCTGTTGCAGCTTTCACACCTGTTTTTCTTTGATCCACTATTATTATCAATATTACTAGTATTAGTATTAGAAACTGAATCATCTGAAGTTTGAAAAGAAAGCAAGGAAATTCCTCTAGCGGTGGAACCCAGATCAGTTTTTTCCACTGATGAAGCCACCGTGGTCGACTGAGCATTGAGATTCTCTTGTTTTACATGATCTTTGTAGCACTTTGAGCACATGTTCTTGTTTTCGACACAGCCATAAAAGCCACAGCCCTTTGCACACATTGGAGGCTCCATGTTCATGTTGACTTTCTTCTCGAACTTTTGTTCGGTTCTTGTTCGTCTGTTCGCTCAAGAGGCTTGTTCTTCTTCTTCTTGTTGTTATGAGAATTGTGGGTTTCTATTTGTTTATATAAGGGAAGGGTGGCGGTGGTAGATTGAGGTAGTTTACCATTTGGATTAGTATTCCTGTTTCCGGTAGGAAAGAGGATATCCTCCCCTCACTCGATAATATTAGTCTTTCTAGAGGCTTCTTTTATGCTATCTTTATATTCTAGAAGTTTCCAATTTAAACAATTTCTTTCTCTCTCTTTAAGCAATGTATTTTGTTTTCCTTCTTTCATTTTCCTTCATTGCATATTATACGCTAACATTGTATTCAAGCAATATTATCTTTTTTTTTTAAAAAAAAAGCAATATTATTATAAAAATGATTTGAAATCTAATACCTTAGGCAAGTCTTGGGTTTCTTGTCTCTACTAGAAAATTTCGATATGAGCCAATGTTCCCTCTATGACCAGTATTAGCAAAAGTTATAATTTCATCGTGGTTAAAATGAGTTGGTCAGAATAAGACGCAGATTACGTCATTATGGTCCAAATTAGGTGGTGTTATTAAGTTTTTTTCTTTTTCCCTTCCATACTCAACTTGTGATACTGAACCCCACCCATACTCCACCTCTTCATGCAAAATAATATTTTCATATTCAAGATTTCCATAGAATTCACAATTGTGGTTAAAATCCCTTTTTTTCAAACAATAAAATAAATTCACAAACCAATAAACAGTTATTGTAGTAAACCTTAGCTAGTAGAGGCAATTAAAAAATAATAATAACAATGCAACGCCTAATCCAAAAAATTATGTACTTTCCACTATAACTTCGATTAAAATTACAAGTACATAAAAAAATTAAAAAAAATTAAAAAAAAAATTCAGAACCTTCAACATAGAATAATCTTCATCTGAACTCTCGAAATAGTACTAGTCAAATTCCAAAAAGGAACTACTTTTAAAACAAGACATGTTATGATGGCATTAGGCCGGTAATGACATACCCTAAACATCATTTACTTTGTAATCAGCAATTAAATATGCAAAGTGGTCGAGTTTGCCAACTGTTACGTACACTTGGGAGTACTCTGTAATTTGTAAACTACAAAAACCTACAAAAATTAACAATGGATGAATTTTTAGTTTTAGCCGGTCCCTAAATAAACTTGGATTGGATGATCATGCATGATCTTTAATATCTAAATCCGCCAACTTAGCTCGGTAAAACAAGTCTGGATACCAAGCTTAATTACTATGATTAGTACCATCTTAACTGATCATCTCTTGTATTAATCTCTCTAACAAAGGTAGCACCACACAAGTGAGTATGCGATCAAGGACGGATCTATAGTTGGGCTGGAGCCCCTCCAGCCCAATCCTGATTTAGTAAATAGGCTTAAAGGTGCAGGCTAACTTAGGAATTTGAGAAACCAGCCTACCTCTCTATACATAACTCAGCCAATCACTGAACCCTACACACAAGGAGGGGATACGGAATCCACTAAGCCCAAAAAAAAACCAACGAGAAATAATAGAACCAAAGCCTCCAACCATTTGACCAAACACAAAACAAGACTCCAACCAAGCAATCCAAGCCAAAAGGAATTTTTTTTTTTGTGCCTAAAAGCCCAAAAGCGAGAGAACCAAAGAAGAAGTGACTCTCTTCTTCTCCAAAGTTGTGTCAATGTATCTTCGGTGGTTCTTCAATCTTAGTTTGTTTCTTTCTTTCTTATTTTTATTTAATTTCGAATTTTAATTGCTATTGTTAACTTTTTATGATTTAGGGTTTGTTTGTTAAATTTTAAATTACGCTACGCGTATAAAATTGTAAGTTGCGCTACGCGTGTGATGGGAAAAAAGTCTCCCACACTTGCGGTAGAGATGCTAGTTGCTTTAAGAAAAAAAAAAAGTAGCCCACTATTAATAAATTCCTGGATCCGTCATTGTACGTGATCAACTGTATAATCGTAGCAAAGTCCATTGATGGCTTTGTTGTTGGAACGGAAGTGCAGTGGGTGAATATTGTTTGAAAGAAAGGGATCAAATCGAACTAAAGATTACTGATGGAAATTCTCATAACATTCATTCGATGCCTTTTGGCTTCACCACCGCATCCACAACTGATGCAGGCACTACAAGTTAATGGCATTAAGATGCATCTAGACTCCTCATTAACTCATAGCTAGGAATACCACAAGACACGAAACTCATACAGCTTCTAGAAACTTATTATTAATTACAAATTATATTTTAAAATTTGTGAAAGGTTGAACTTTTAGATTTTCCAGAAACACTCCCAAACAGGCTCCAAACTCGGTCTCTTTCTGTATACGTTCAGCTTCTTTCTTAGCATAATCAGCAACCTTCTCCTCAAGAGAAGCACATTTATCCTCAAGTACCCGAATCCTATTTCGTGCTTCTTCATCAACAGAAACAACCCGTGATACGAAAAGCTTCCTAATATCCTCCAACTTGCATTTCTTTTTGCATTGAGGACACTTCCCGGAACTTCTATGCTGTAGCCATTTTGTTATGCAAGACATGCCGTATACATGTCCACAGGGAAGGCAACTGATGTGATGATCGCCGTCATTGGTCCAAGCGTCCAAGCAGATAGAGCAAAATAGGCCATCGATTTCACTCCGATTCCATTCACTGCCTTGAGAGCCTTCTGGGCTGCCAGTTCCAACCCACGACGACGTTTTGGGTCCTCCATTTCTTCTCCGCTTCTCTCCACCTTCCTCTGCCACACCTCTCGATTCTGTTTGAGCAGCAATTCCGGCAGCGTTGTGATTAGAACTCGAGGCTAATAGTTGTGCAAGGTACTTAGCAAAATCCCCATCTTGGTGGTCCTGTTGAAGTTCCTCGTTTTCGCTAATGTCGATGCTTGAAGGGTTAGGGTTTGCCATGAGTGAGTTAAGAGAAGTTGAATGCGTCCAAAAAGAAATGTTAAAGATACTTTAATTAGAAGCTAGGGGTTTCATCAGAAGCCCAACTTTAGGGGTTTCCACTAGAAGCCCAACTATTTAGAGATTTAAAAATTAAAACCCCTCATTGGCAGGGGTGAAGATATTTATATAGGGTAAAAAATTGAAGTTTTTGTTTGGAGTCGATGTGGGACTGCTGCAACTACCCACGACTCTCGATGTGGGACTAATGAGTCCCTGTTCTTCGGTTATTTCATTGGAGACCTGTTCACCCTTTGATGGACCTCTTCATCGTCGTCTCTGGTAATGGTGGTAGTGAACATGCTCTGACTCAGGCTGCAAATCTCTGATTCCTGTTAGATGTCTCCATTGTTATTGTAAATGGGTATTTCTCCTCAATCTTTTCTGGGTCTTCTTGCTTGATTTTCTTGTCAAAGACTAGTGCTTTTGAGGACCTAAAGCTGAGGAGAGAGAAAGACCTCTAGGAGCTTCTACATATTTTTTAGTTAAGCTTTTTTTTTTTTTTTTTTTTAAACCTACCTTGATATCCCTGAACATAAATTTGTGATGTGGAACAGGTTTTTAGGTGCGATTAAGCAATACTTATGTCTGTCACTGTTGAAAGCAGAGATTGGAGTATATATATTTTTTTCGTATGATTGTTCTAAGAGTTTTGGAAAATGTTGCGCAACACTGTTGCGGGCCTGACATCTAAAGGTTTCTTATGGGGTTTATGGGTTCATTTCGTGAAATTTCAAAACGAGAAAGAATTTGAAAGAGAAATAGAGAAATAAGACGAACAAAGAAAAGAAGAAAATTAGAGAATGATGTAGGGATGCTGTGCCTTGTTGTAGTTTGTTGTGTTCTCTATGTAGATCAAATGATCTGCATGACTGTGGATGTTACTTGTTCTTGTATGCGACAGTTTTCATTATTTCTTGATGTCTCTTTTCTCTTTTTTGGACAGAGGATTTTGTTACTGAGATGTAAAAGGTTTTGGCATTGGTTCTCCTGAGGGTCCTATATCTCTTGATGGTTTTTGAAGTATTCAACTGTCAAACACGGTATCTCATTTTTATGATATCACAGGATTGATTGATGACGTATATCACAGTTGTTACTTGGTCTTTGAAACTCAATATAATTAACTTCTTTGAAAAACTACCATATTCAGGAATTGAGGAAGCAATTAGAAAATCAAGTTGTTACAATTGATACATTGCACAATGAGAATTGTCTGGCTGTTGAGCGTCATGAAAACGTATGCTGCTTGTGACCTGTCATCTCTCTCTCTCTCTCTCACCGTCCTTTTCCCTGGAACAACCAAGTACATCAATCTACTTATCGATGACAGGTGTTGTTCAATCTTGCAGGAAAAGAAAGTATTGAAAGAATCAGTTGCAAGAGCTTACCTTGATGAACTGAGTTAGTTGCATCACATTCTGGAGATTAAACAGAAGGAGCTTGTAGAGGTCAATAGAATATCGGCACAAACAAAACATGCTATTGAAGACTTTAATGAAAGGCTCAATGGTACAACGCTGTCATGTTCTGAAGCAAATGAAATAGCGAATAGGTAAGGCACACATGATTTGGTCCTGTGTTTTTTTTTATGGATAGAGTCAACTTATAGTATTACCAATAAGTAATAACACTATATTGTTAGGCCTCATTTTTTTCTGGCTAGGTGTTCAAGTTGCTCCTTGTTATACCTGATTTTATGTCGTGCGCAAATCTAGAGTTCCAAATTTTCTGATCCATGGCATGGGAAGAACATGGACACCATTTTGTTTGGGGCCAGCTTTTATGTCGTGCACTAATCTAATGTGTGTGTGTGTGTACTTTCACATCATTTAACCTGGCGGTCCTTGTATGATAGTGGCTTGTGTATATATTGATTTTTGGTATCCTACTTATATACTTTCACTCGTATAATCCTTAGTTTGCCATAGTTTCTTGTGCTTGTCTGGTTGTGCTCAGCATTTGACTCGAGGTTTACTTGGATTGCAATTTTTAACCATCCTTGTATAATAGATCAGTACCTTGTTAAAATGGTGAAATGAATGCTTGATTTGTATGATGGAGTTTTGGTGATTTCAAGCTAAGAGAAGTTGATTTTTCATAAAGCTAGCAAACACATTGATGATCTGGTTAATCCACCTACTTGCATGTGTGAAATTAATATACTGCAACTCAGGCGGAAAAAAGTAATATGCTGCAAAAATGAAGTAGAGATATGAAGTTAGACACCCAAAATGGAAATATATGAACTCAAGTAACCTCAACTAAATAGGGCTACATAAAATTTGATTCTGCTATAAAAAAATAGGACTACAGTCCATTTTCCCAGATTGCTTGGGGGCCCTCTACATGAATATTTTTCTGCTTCTTGACCGTGTATAAAATGTTTGATCTGCTATCTCCTAAGTTCATATCCGTCTCTCTTGACTACTCTTTTCAGTGGTCCATTGATCCTTTCTTAGGTCTTTGTTACATGCTGTCACACTTCTAAGGCAGTTTTAACTGGAAGGCTTATTTAGACAATTGAACTGACCAAATTATTACCGGTCCTTTCCATAAAGAAATGTGGTTATCCAACCTTTCGAAATTTTCTAATTTAGATATTAATTGAGCATATGTATGCGCATCTATTTAGGAGTCCTGATTTTTCTCTAAATCCTGCCTGTACTTATATCAATGTATGCGAAGTCTGGTGCTGTTTAGAATAAGTTATTCTCTAGTTAATCAGTTCCATTCATATTGTTATCACTTCCCCCATACAAAATATTGAAGCTTCAGTACATGTTGTTCTATTTGCTGCATAATAACTGTTGTGTTGTGTGATTGCTGGACAATAAAATTGAAATAAATGCGACATTTGGTTCTAATATATCAGAATTAGTTACTGAAACTTTATTATTCTTTTCCCTGAACTGAAACTTGTGTAGTGATATATATATATATATATATATATATGCTAATTAGTTTTGGATTGTCTATATCTTCTTGCAGGTAACAAGGAGAAGAATAAATTTTACAGTTGATAACAGTGAGCCGAGCCCGACGGGGCAGCGGATTGGATTCTCTGTTTCCTCCTGTAGTCTTGTATCTGAGAAGTATGGGAAGCTAGCTAGCTCAATTTAAAATTTATACATCTCTCACTCTTCAGGAGTTTTGAATCATGTTGTATGTTTATGTTGTACGCTATGCTAGCCATATATTTTTTTTATTATGAAAAAAGTGAATTCATTGAGAACAATTATGTTTCTGAAAAATAAAATTGCCCTTGTTCTACATTTAAGAAAGCCCCTATGCTTCATTCAGTTTCATGACCTACATAACAAGGTGGGTATTCTTCAATTCAACTCTCTAGTAAGTAGTTAATTACACAGAATTTTGTGTTACACATGGTTATATACTCTTTTTTTCTTCAACCAATTTTTGTCCCACTAGGTTTTACTGGCAAGGTTTTTAACGAAACATATTCCATACATGGTGGTCTCCAAGGGGGAATGTTGTAAAGTCTAAGTGGAGCCCACACATTTAGAAACAATGTAGAATATCATGATGAAAGTGTTGTGGAAGTGGAATCCACATATTGGAAGACATGATTGCACATTCACGGGAAGCGAAGAGAGTTTGCCTATAAGTGGACTTCCTTCCTTCATTGTAAGATACAGAAAAAAGATTCAATAAAATATCAGATTCCTATGCTTTCTCTATGTCTCAAAACACTCTACAATCTTTTAATTTTATAACATAACGGCTATTTTATCTTTTATTTTTCAATTAATTCAAGAACGATCTCTGTTCTCCCTTGTTTCCTTCTTCGACTCTTTTCTCTAGTCTACTTCACAAATTCAATAACATGGCTATAATTTTTTTCTTCTAGTTTATTTAAACTTGCTTGCTATTCTATTCACAGTTCACAAACTCGCTCTGTTCTCTCTACTATTCTCACTCTGTCTCTCCATCCAAATCTTTGCAATTCTGCAATCTCTCTCCTCCCCAAATCAAGAAGCAGAAACAACTATGTTCTCCTTCTGCCCATCAAATCTTTCCACCAAATCAAAAGTTCTAAACTTGGAAACCATGTCCAAGATCATCCCAAATAAAAGACTTCTCAATTGCATCCCAGAAGAGGAACCATAAGAATAATCCCCAACTGCTCTATGTTCATTTTGAAGGTAAAAGAAGATGGGAACCATGTGGATGGATTGTTCTTTTCGTTCCTCTTCCGGGATACAGTTGAGAAGTCTTTTCTTTGGGATGATCTTGGACATGGTTTCAAAGTTTAGAACTTTTGATTTGGTGGGAAGATTTGATGGGTAGAAGGAGAAGAGAATTGCTTCTACTTCTTGATTTGGGGAGGAGAGAGATTGAAGGATTGCAAAGATTCGGATGGAGAGACAGAATGAGAACAGTAGAGAGAACAGAGCAAGTTCGTGGACTGTAAATAGAATAGCAAGCAAGTTTAAATAAACCAGAAGAAAAAAATTATAGCCGTTATTGAATTTGTGAAGTAGACTAGAGAAAAGAGTCGAAAAAGGAAACAAGGGAGAACAGAGATCGTTCTTGAATTAATTGAAAAATAAAAGATAAAATAGCTGTTATGTTAAAAAATTAAAAGATTGTTTGGGGCCAGCTTTTATGCTAGTCACATATTTTTGCAATTATGAACAAAATGAAGTTGAGAACATTTATGTTTCTGAAAAAGAAAATTGCCATTGTTCTTTTGAATTCAGTGAAAAAACTTACATTGTCCATACTTGTCTTCTACATGCTTTTTAGTTTAGCTTCTTTTTTTTTTTCACCTACCTTGATATCCCTGAAGATAAATTTGTGATGTGGAACAGGTTTTTTTTGGTGCGATTGAGCAATACTTATGTCTGTCGCTGTTGAAGAACAGTGCTTCGACTCTTATGATAGTTTTTCAGCTCATATACAAACTATCATATATTTGATTGAATTGAGACTTTTGCAGCACAAATGGGACATATCTCAACTGGAAGAAGTTGACAAAAGGTGGCCCTGAAGCTAGACTACGTCATGGAGACTATTATATCACCTTCTGCCCTTCCTCAGCATGGTAATACTAGTGTCCCAACTAACCATCTTGTACTCGAAGCAGCAATTAAGTATTAATAATCGAGATGGGTTGCTTGCCGTCTTTGGCGTTCTTTTTTTTGAATAACATTGCTTTATCTGATTCTGATGTGTCTGATTCTAACTTTAGATCAAATTAAATGAAATAGCGTAATTAGGATGATATCAATTGTCAAATATTATACACCACCCAAGTACATAGACTTTACCAAATTAACATTCTTCATCTTACAACCAAAAGAAGAAAAGAGAAAAAACAAAAAGAATCAGCAGCCAGCAGCATGGGATTCACACTCACACACAAGCCAAAGTCTCCATATATCGACATTCTCCACCCCAAACTGTCATAGAGTCGGGGTTGGAAGTTAACTCGAAAGATTGGAAGGTCTTGTTCTTGAGATTATAAGAGATGACCTTACCAGTAGTATGCAGCAAGAGGGATGAACATTCCTCTCCTCCACCTCCATTTTTGCTGTACCGGAGGTGCATAAGTTTAAAGATTGTACTAGTTACTTTTCCTTCGTAATCACGATGCTGCTTTCAAGTAGTCTTATAGTGGAATATACTGTTACTTTTTACTTATCATTGTTTTTAACATTAAAGGCAATACCATCTGCTTTATATTAGTTTCGAAGTCTGCTTTCTTTCCGGTAAAATTAATTTCTCAAGTGAAAATGGGAACTTAAGTTGGTTTAAAACTTGATAACCTGGTCTTACTTGTTTTACATCTGCCAATTGTCTTATTATTGAAGGAAGAACTGAACGGTGTATCTTGTTTGATGCTTGAGCATATAGCTTTATATTCTGGTCTTTGAGTTGTTTCAAAGGTAAACATTCTCAAAAAGGTTGTTTCAAAGCGAAACATGAAGTCTCTGGAAACAATTGTAGGATGGTAGCTCACTAGTGCTATACTTGTATCTCTCCTCTAGTCCAAATAGACGAACTATTCTGATTTTGAGTGGTATCACTGATTAAGCGTGGGTAGCAACTTTTTTTTGACTTTATTCTTCTGTTTTTATATGCAAACACTATTGTTATATGGCTGTAGTAACATATTTTAAACCATGCCTTATAGTAGATTTTGTGTCAACTCAGATTAGTGGAAACCTCGAGGGCTATACCACCAATTTTGTGTATTTAAATGCATTAATGATAAAACTCCTAATGGTGGAGGTTGATTCCCTATCACCTTCTGTGCCACCACCCAGTGGTCCTCTTCTTTTGCATTTCCTAGACCTTCAGAGCTATTTAGCTTTTTTCCTTGTTTGCTAGAGATAGAGGAAAGTATGTGGAGAGAAGAAGGAATAAAGGTTGGGGGAGGGAGGGAGAAATGAAGGAGATTATATGAAAACAAAATCTAGAAAAGGAAACCCACTTGAAATTTCATTTTGCGTGCCATTCTACAATTCTTCCGCATCTTTCCCACCACCCTCTGCAATTCTTCATCCCTACTACTTATCCCATGTACTTCCCCTAGGTCTCTAACAGAAGTTTGATGAAATGGTTATCAAACGGACCATTAGATTGACCTCTTGTTAAAAAACTGGAAGGTTAGCGGAAGGGGTATACCTAAGCTAGAATATTTTTGCTCTGCGGAAAATGAACCAGTAAAGGAAGGGAAGACATTTGTAATTTGGAGCTGGAAGTGCATAGTCAGACATTTTGCATCACTGGCAGAAGAGTCACAAATGTGCTTATGTAGTTCTCTGTGAAATGAATGTTAACATGGTGAATGATTGGTAATGTGTAAGGTAAAACATCTGATTTCGATTGTGTGACAGGGCCCCAGCGGTCTCTGGGTGATATGTCAGTCACTGTGTTAATCATGTGCTATCATCTAATAATATTGCAGAACTATATTATTTCATGACCTGCTTACTGACCTTTAGAAATTTACCTATTCAGCAGTAGACCCAGGAATTTGAGCTTTGAGATGAACCACCTCAGGCTTGTATGGTCTGGCATCTGGCATGTGCTTTCCAATTTCTTTGTGAGAATTGGTTGTTCTGAAAACCTGTATATTGCAATTTTTGCTAAGGATTCTCTACGCCGGTTGTCAATGTGATTCACCTCTGGATCATAATGATTTGGTTACAAATATCTCTTACTGTGTCTTTCTCCCTGTCTTGTCACATCAGCACCCTGGGGACAAATGTCTATTCAGAAAACTTGGTTCAGATTTTCATACAAGTCCAAAGGGAGGGAGAGCTTTAGATGGTTCCATGGGCTTTTTAAATAATCTCTGTGTTGGACAAAACGAAGTCTATAAGCTGAGGTTATATTTATTGTGCCTTCTCTCTTCTTTCCAAATTGTCCGTTCGATCCACATTCTTATTCATTTTTCGTTTCTCTGCAAGTTTGTCCTAGCTTCGCTTTGACCCTGGGCCTGAAATCAGGAAGAGTGCCTTACAAGTGCTGTTTGAAACTTTACGTAACCACGGTAACCTTTTCTCAGTTCCTTTGTGGGAAGGGGTTTTTGAATCTGTGCTATTTCCAATATTTGACTATGTGCAGCATGCTATTTATCCCTCTGGCGGAGGTTCACCAGAACAAGGGATTGATGGTGATGTGGGGGAGCTTGATCAAGATGCCTGGCTCTATGAGACATGCACATTGGCACTACAATTAGTAGTTGATCTTTTTGTCAAATGCTATAACTCTGTTAATCCTCTTTTGAAGAAAGTTTTGGTGCTTGTACTCACTTTTATTAGACAACCTCACCAAAGCTTAGCTGGTATAGGTATTGCTGCATTTGTGCAATTAATGAGCAATGCAGGGGATCTCTTTTCTGATGAAAAGTGGCTGGAAGTGGTTTCATCATTAAAAGAAGCAGCCAATTCAACGCTTCCTGATTTCTCTTTCATTCTTAGTGGAGATGGCATCATTGGAAACCATGACCCTGCTTTGAGTAGAGAAGATAATGGAGGGTCCACTGTGTCTGGTAGGCCAGGTGATGATTCAGAGAGACTGAGGACAAATTAACTTTGTGCTGGCATATCTGACGTTAAGTGCCGTGCTGCTGTTCCACTTTTATTGATTCGGGTAACTTCCCCAATTATTAAGCACCTTCCTTTTACAAATATATGGCTTCATCAAACTTCTTGTGTATTTATGCTGTTTTTCTTATGCCTCTTGAAGCCAAGTCACATTTATTATTATTGAAACAAAATAAAAACGAACAATAGGAACTGCGCTGCATTCACCAACACTTCTTGAGGATTGATCCCATGATCTCACCCTTCACCCTTATTTCAAAGGGGAGAAGGTGCATCTTGGTGAAATGTGATCACCAAATGTAACAAAGCAAATTAAGGGTTTGTTTCTTCTACTTCTGTTTTATCAATGGAAAGTGGTGCAAAGAAAACGCTCTAGTAGTGTGTGGTATATAGACATGTTTTAAATTCCACATTTCTAATATTTTACTTGTTACCATGTCAATACTGTTTCCTGAGGTTTGTATGTTTTCATTAAAATTCGCAGTCGGTGATGGAGATCTGCACCATGTATCGATAGGTGGGGCCTGTGTTGCTTCGGTCGTGTTGAGCAGGTGAGATAGGACCATGCAATTTGAGATTTATGATAATTTGATCACAAGTCCAGTAGTCTTCATTTCCTCTTTCCTTTTATTTTTCTTCGTTATCGGAAATATAGTTTGATACTAGTGTATGAAGAGTTAGCGCAATGTTTTGGATTTGGTTGGCCAGTGCTTTTAAACCTTCTGTAGTCTTCTATCCGAGAAGTATAGCTCCATTTAGGATTTATACATCTCTTCAGGAGTTTTGGTGTTGTATGGTAGTCACATATTTTTTTCAATTATGAACAGAACGAAATTGAGAGCATTTATGTTTCGGAAAAAGAAAATTTGCCCTTGTTCTTTTGAATTCAGTGAAAAAACTAACATTGTCCATACTTGTCTTCTACATATTATTTAGTTTAGCTTTTTTTTTTTTTTTTTTTTTTCACCTACCTTGATATCCCTGAAGATAAATTTGTGATGTGGAACAGGTTTTTAGGTGCGATTAAGCAATACTTATGTCTGTCACTGTTGAAGAACGGTGCTTCAACTCTTATGATAGTTTTTCAACTATCTTGCTCCATCTTCATTAGTCTGGTGTCAAGATTTAGGGCTGGATTGAAAGCCGAGATTGGAGTATACATATTTTTTGACAGATCACGATAGTGCAATAGGCTTTTTAAAGTAGATTTGGGAGGTGTTATTCCTAAGGGTTGTGTAGAGTAGAGATATCATTTTTTATTTCTATAGATTGTGGTCTGTTTGACAGAAAGTTATTGACCCTTTTCATCTGTCATTATATCATATGTGCTCATCATCCCGCTCTCATATTGGAGTCAATATTAGATGCTGAGTACATGTGGTGTTCCTTCAATTGTTGAAAATCAGAACTTGGTTAAACCACATCTTTCGAGGGGTTGTGGCAACCATGATAACTTTTTTACTCAGGTCATGATAGATTCGTAGAGATTTGATCAAAAAAACGTTCCTAAGTTGATCAGAAATTGGTAAGCTATGTCAAATGCTACTTGTGAAGATAAAAATCTCTTCGGCTAGGCTAGGTGATCAACTTCTGGAGAACCTGAAATCTAGAAAATTTCTCTGGAGCTGGCAGTGAACCAACGCTGTTGCGGCCCTGACATTTAACGGTGCCTTGTGGGGTTTAAGGTTTCTTTTTCTTGAAATTTTCATAACGAGAAAAAATTTGAAAGAGAACTGGAGAAATAAGACGAATGAAATGGAGTTTTGAAAAATCCAAACATCTGAGAGATAGAGAGGTAGGAATTTATGGAACAAACCGCACCTTTTTTCCGTCTTCTCACCAACCTATTATCGAGTTGGGTTGCTTGCCGTCTTTGGCGTTCTTTTTTTTTTTTTTTTTTTTTATTGAATAATATTGCTATATCTGATTCTGATGTGTTTGGTTTTGTGCATACTCAAACTGCACTGGGAATCCAATCGACCTCTTGCTGAGATCAGGCTCAATCGAGTGACTTTAGATCAAATTAAATGAAAGAAAGAACCAATTAAATAATTAGGATGATATCAATTGTCAAATATTATACATCACCCAAGTACATAGACTTAACCAAATTTAACATTCTTCATCTTACAACCAAAAGAAGAAAAGAGAAAAAACAAAATGAATCAGCAGCCCGCAGCATGGGATTCACACTCACACACAAGCCAAAGTCTCCATATATCGACATTTTCCACCCCAAACTGTCATAGAGTCGTGGTTGGAAGTTAACTCGAAAGATTGGAAGGTCTTGTTCTTGAGATTATAAGAGATGACCTTACCAGGAGTATGCAGCAAGAGAGATGAACATTCCTCTCCTCCACCTCCATTTTCATTGAGATCTGGAGCAAGAAACAGAAGAACAGTTCTTTTTTCCCATTGTAGCAGGTCAGGAATGGGAATGGGAGGATCATGGACAAGATCAACATGGTACTTGACAAACCAGCCAGAGTAGTTTCTTCCCATCTCCAGCACATCAAATTTAGTCTGACAACGCCAATAAACACGAGCAAGATGCAAATGACCGCCAGGAGTTTCGAAAAAATATGCATCCTCACCTTCGTCGTACTTATAGTGGTCATAAAAAGGAGGGCTATCAACCCATCCAACGCGCTCTTCATCCATGTGGTAGTATGACAACTCTGCATCCCAACCACTCCAGTGAATTGCGCCGTTGCAGTACACCGGCGTAATATAGTCTACAGGTGTTTTATGGAAAGTAGAATCGAGAAGCCTCCAACTTCGAGTCTCAGACGAATATATCTCTATGTGATGGTAATAAGAACCAAATGCTGTTCCGTCAGTGGAACGAAGGCAGAGCACCTTGTAATAAGGTGATTTGGAAGGGTCAAAAGCCAAAGCATAACTTATGAGACCAGTGGCCAGAGTGGTAGCCGCTGTTGGACGAATAATTTTTAAGAACTGATTGGTTGTGGGGTTCACAACGTAAAAATACGCAAATTTGACTAGATAACACAAGAAGAGGCCATTGCAGGACTGAAAAATCCTGATATCATGCTCATTTGGAACCAAGTTAGGAGGCTTCCAGCGCGACCCAGGAGCCCTGGATGGACGACCATCACCATCGAGAGGGATGAAGCTGAAGCCCAACTTGGTTTCGCTGTAGCCAGAAAAAACGGCGGAGGCCACCGAGCAGGAGCTTGGGTTTTGAAGGGTGTGCCGGTCACAGAATTTGGGGTTGGAAATAAGAGAGAGCCACCGCTTCGAGACACATTTGAAGCGGACCAGAGGTCGAGCTGGCAGGCGCACAAGAATTTCCTCCACGATGCCTTCATTGTTGGCTATGGTTACTGCTGCTGCTGAGGAAACAACGTTGCTGGTTTTTTTTCTCTTTTTCTGGCTAAGCCTAAGCCAACCTCTATATATAGTCACCAAACCTCTCCTAATAAACATAGGAAAACAAACCCAACTCAAATTGAAGAGAACGGCTATATTTAAAGCGTATAGCCGGGTGGCTATACCTTTAATATATTTGCGGCTATACTGTTAAGTATTGTAAAACCATATTTTTCACTTATTATCCTTTAGTCTATGGTGTTCTACGTGATGGACACTAAATTTTATGCCAAGTTTGTGAATACTGACCCGAGCAGTCTTGTGAGAGCAACATCCCCTTGGAGAAGGGGATGTGGTCCCTGTGGTGGAAGGCATGGTCGACTTGCAAGTGAAGTTAAAATCGTATCAAACTACGCCCAACATAACACCAACTTTTAAAGCTTGAACAAGCTACACTAATCTTTTCATTGAATATAAAAGTGTCACCAACATACCACCACAGTAACTTCTACATGAGTTGGTGGTGCGCTGCAAAAATTACACACATACGGTTGATTTTATTTTGTTGGGCTTTTTAAATTGAGGGATACATGCTAGCAATCTCATTTTCTTCACCTTCTTCTCCTCATCTATAACGTGGCTCGTTAATCAAAATAACTCATTTTTAGATCATTATGCAAAGATCATTATTATAACTAAACAAATTTTCATTTGATCAGCATTGTCGTAATTTTAGTATTTAATCGAAATATTGCATTCACCTTTCTATTTGATAACAATTAGATAACTAAATCACTTCCAATTGTTTAATTTTTTTTACACCTATATAACCTTTAAAGCATGACCTAGAAAATGAATGGTTCATTAAACCACATTGTACAAGAGAAGGTGAAAAGAGGAAGATATAGTTAGCCATCTTGAGTATATTTTATTTGTGTGTGGTGCATGAGTATTAATTGATTTTGATTTAGCCATAACATCTTCTATTTTGAGTTGAAGTTTAGGAGATACGTGTGCCACTAGAACAAAACACGAATTAAAAAATAGATGAACTAATGTTAAGTATTGAGTTATACACTGATCATTACATTAGGGTTAACTAGTAAACACGATACTAATCCAAAATGGTACTATCCAAACACGACAAAATGGAACTACCACTATTGATTATTTATATCATCTCAACTCGCCTTATACATCACCTCTCTAATATAGATAGACCTCGTAGATGTGACATATAGATGTCACCTTGATTAGATAAACTCCAAAAAAGATGAAGAAAAAAAAAAGAAATGGGAAAGTTGGGTTATGGAATTTTGTTTCATTTCACATTAGAAGTTATCTTTACAAAGAGAACTAAGGGGCTGTTTGATAACGTTTTCAAGGCCCCGTTTTCATTTTCTACCTGAAACGCGTTCAGTATATCATTTTCATTTTCATTGGAATTCATTTTCTGAAAACAAATTCAAACTTATGTACAAAAACTGAAAACACCAAATTATTTTTTTCATTTTCTACGCAGTGTATTGGTCTGATTGCTTTTTTTTTTTTTTTTCTTTTTTGTGTGGTTTGATTTTTAATTTTTTAATTTTTTTCTTTTTACAAAGGAAACTAAAGCAAAAGGAGGAGATAGTTGCTAATATTGAGGGGTTGTGGTTTTTTATTTGATTTATTTATTATTTATTGTTAAAGGCTTAAGCCACCTTGCTCAAAGAAACTACTTCTTAAATTTAGGGAAGGAAGGCTTGAAGCCACCATATTTGAAGAAGTAATTTCTTACCAAAGTTGGTTTTTATTTGTTAAATGCTTTAAAGACTTAAAGCCACTATTCATATCCAAACAATTGCTTGCCTCTAAAGAAAATTTATTATTAAAAGAAATTTTCCACTAAACAAATATATATATATATATATATTTATGACCAGATGACATGATCCTTTGATCAGAACATAATGGCTGGCCATGCCACGACTATTTTGTTGAATTGAATGTTATTGCTGTTGATAGGGATTCGGACGAGTTTGCCATTACCATCCTCATCGGAAGTATTTTGGCAAATTATTGGATCCACCGGATGCTCCATACAAATTGGGCCTACAAAAAGATCCATCGGGTCCACCACGAATACACTGCTCCAATTAGGCTTGCAGCACCATATGCCCATTGGGCCGAGATTTTGATTCTGGGCCTTCCATCATTTCTTGGCCCAGCATTGGTTCCGGTACATATTGTCACGTACTGGTTGTGGTTCATTTCGCGGCAATTGGAGGCCATTGAGACTCATAGCGGGTAAGTAAGCTAACCATTTTTTCTTTATGCTATTGGCTAAAGTAGTTAGCTTCGCACCTAAAATTTAATAGGGCATGTTATTAGATCCTAATGCAGTATGCCAAAATACCGAACAATTCGATTTTTTCCTTACCAACAATAAATAACGTACGTATGTATACGATACAAATACTTGTTACCTTGGACTCCAACAAAATACATCCCATTTTATGGTGGTGCAGAGTACCATGACTACCACCACTTTGTTGGGAAGCATAGTAAAAGCAACTTTGCATCAATTTTCACTTATTGCGATTACATCTATGGAACCAATAAGGTTAAAGATGATTTCTTTCTTTCATGTTTAGCTTTTACTCTTATCTAATTTTGTTTAACTTGAAAATGAAACAGTTAAAATTGTGTAAATATTCTTCAGGGATGTCGGTCTCACAAACAAGTCCTTGAGAAGGCAAAAAGTCTCTAAGACCCTTCTGCATCAAAGTGATTAGGTATTGTAATTCTGTTTTAAAAATAAATGTTGGTGGTATTTTGTCATCAAACATTTACATATTATAAGCTACAACAGTGGAGACGTAACCTATTTTATATCAATAAAGCATCTCTCTCTCTCTCTCTCTCTCTCTCTCTCTCTC